TATGGAAAATGATGTGATACTTTCCTGACTAACAAACAACATGTAAATTCCGATGCTTTTAGATTTATTTGTCAGGCACGGGTACTGTTGGTCTAAAGTGGTTCAGCCAGATAAGTTTACTACATTTTCTTTAAGTACAAGAAAAAAAAAATGGTAGGTTTTCTTAAGGACTTAGCTATCTTTATCCAGGAGTTTTAAAATATCATTGCAACATGAAGAAAAAACAATGGAAGTAAACAAATAATCTTAGCACATCTTTGTGCTAATGAAAATATTTAGGAGGGAGCTAAAAATGTCAAATATATGCCCTTAGATATAGGAGACCTCTTAAACAATGAACATTACAGGAAATGCCTTAGTTATGTACATTAAAACAAATGTTAGAAATATGATGACAGTACAGTTGAGAATCCAAATCTTAAAATTGGATGAAGCCTTGCTTGATGCTTCATGCCTTGGGAAATGAATACAGTACAGAGTCCCAGATGCTGCAGCCTTACAGAAGACCAACTTGCTGCTTCACACAATACTACCAACAGGACTCCCTATTGTGCTTGTCATTGTAACAGCGCATGAGGTGTAGTAAGCTAATAAGCTAACCCGCCCCTTAGCAAAAATACTGTGATGTACAGCATGCCCTAACACTTTTCATTTTAAAGCAGCCGAGGACACCTAACTGTGTTTTCACAACCCAACCTAAAATGTCCTGCTTTATGCTTGTAGATTAGTATATGGACCACAGAGAAACTCAGAATTATATTGTTCCTTCAGTCCCTCTAACATGAATCTGTGCAGAGAAAGGGATTCAGCAGCATGTTTTTCCTATTTGTGCAAATCAGTTAAAAGGGCAAAAATCAAGTAACAGATTATTTTGAAAGAAAGGTAGGACATTTAACTGAAAATATCATCATAAAAATGTTAATTTGGAAACAGTGAAAACTGTTTTTTTTAATGTTTGTAGTCGGTACTGCTTCCCATCTAAAATGTGCAGCATTATACTGGCATTTGTGAAACAGAAAGCAAAACTGACTAGTTTATTCATATCAGAGCAGGCAAGTAAAAGAGAGAAGAAAAGTAAAAAATACCCAAACTGCAGAAATCTAAACCATCAGTAAGAACATTTGCTTTTTTCATATCATACTGTCCATTTAAAATGTAAATATACCCCGGTGAACCACAGATATCTTTTAGAAAAGACAGCTATTTAAGATATTTAAAAATGTCTTAGAATACTTCATAAATAAGTATATGTATGTTGATTTAAAAAATATTTTGGAAAAATAGCTTTGATTCACTAACAAATATTTTTTCTTATATTGTTACTTTTGAGTTTTTATACTACTTGATTAAGCCTTATTTTTATTAATTATCCATGACTAACATAACATTTCCAGTAATTTGCTATTAACCTTTGCCCTGAAATAGTATGTCTAATCCTTTATCTAAAAATAATTTGACAAATTGTAAGTTGGAACATTCTGTGTTAGCCTTGCAAGGAGATAGTGATTTTAAGAGACTGAAATCAGATGCTCCTGACAAAATATTAAAAACCTGCAGCTGTAGACAGCTATTCTAACAAAAATGTCTATTTTTCCATTTTATTCTTCACATTTTAAAAGGAGCAGACGGGTATTTTGGTGCAGGGTCTGTGGCAACAAGGAACTAGCCAATTGTAATTTTAGAAAAATCCAAGAGTAGAAAGAATTTACTGGCTTTCCTATCTATTTCTGAGTACTTGCACAAAGGCTGATTTTATTAATGTCTAAGCACATAGTAGAGGATGAACAAGCATGAATAGGAGCTGTATGGTTTAACTTCCACAGGAGACCAAAATTACATACCAGTATAACTTCTTCTGGATCAAAGAAATGATTAATTGTTTGCATATTCTTCATAGTTTGAGTTCAGGGTTCTGTACCAGACAGTGCCTCAATCACCAAAGTAACAGATCGAGAAATATGAAATGACTGTAACATTTAGGAGAACCCCCCCCCAAACATTTGGATGGACTTAAAAAATCATGGCATTCTTTGGTTTGAATTTATATTTACTTGGGGAGCAACAGAAAGAGCTGTAATTAGTATAGATTTTTAATTTAGAAATACATTTTATTGGGCCAATTTCTGCCATCTTATGCTTAAGAAAGTCTAGAGCAATTCTACTACCTTCCAATAAATTATTCCTAATTTATGCCATTATAACTTGATCACGTAAATTCCTAATTTATGCGATTAAGGCGGATTTGTCCCATAGTTCACAACTTTGTAGTCTTCTAAAAATTATAAGACTGTAAAGAAAGGAAAAAAAACAACAACCCGTCAGTACCCAAATTAGATCACAACTATTTTGAATAGTGTGTACACCACACAGTGGAGAAACAGCCTGAAAATAATTAGGCTGATGCCATATACAGCAAAGAGTAAAAAGCTAAAATGATACTGGGAACAACCTAAACTTTAAACATAAATTTGCCAAGCAACATTACACTGAATATAAAGAGGGTACAAGGCAAAATACAAACATTAGCCACATGTAAATATGTTTGTAGAACTTTCAGGATGTTACTACTTTTCAAACTGCCAAAGTTTAATTTGACACCTTCTGTTCTAAAACCTTTGTTTCTATTCAAAATCACGCCTTTAGCTGCTATCAATCACTATGTTCTCCCTATTACTTAAAATACTGGCATGGGCCCTGGATAAGCTGAAAATGCCATGCAGATGAATTCTGAGATAATATGTTCAAACCTGTTATATACAACACAAATCCTGTAAAGTTATGTATTGTAAACCTACATTTATTGAGAACTAAAAGTCTTAAATCCATCTGCCACAAAGGAAATACTGTTATGCACTTTCGAGTAACCAAGTACCATCTGCAAAGGTCTTGCTACAGTAAGCAAGAAAATGGTGAAGGAAGATGCTAAACCTAAGATATTTAAAATAAATATGAGTCTTTTGACTCATTTTCTGATAGGGAGTTATTAAAGAAACATAAGACATTAGGAGAAAAAAACCTGCGAAAACAGAGCAAGTGCCAGACTCTTGCAGATAAAGCACGCACAGGATAACAATGACAAATTTTGTAGTCCATGAGACATACAAAAGTATGCTTATTTTAAAGAAAAACTCAGCAGGTCTAAACTCAACATCCCAACAATTTCTTTTGAAAATTGTAATTGTGCTACAATTAAATTCCTGACCTTTCCTAGTCTCAGCACCTAGAGACAACAATCTCTGGTTTCCACATAATCCCCTGCCCCCCCTTTTTTTTAAACACATAAGCTGATGCAGATCTATTTAACATTAATGGGTTCAACATCAATTCTAACTGAATCAAGAAAACTGTGCTACTATATCTTTTAAAATTTGTTAGGCAAATCCTTCCAGAGCAATGACTATATCAGGAGGTTCACCTCCGCCAAACAGAACGAGTCTACAAAGGAAGGACTTTGGGATAGAGCAGTTAAACTATGGTAGAACTGTTAGTGGTAACTATCATCAAATGACCAGTATGTCTTACTGCATAGCTAGCAAGGAATCAAACATATTTTTAAAAAAGAGCTGTAATTTGAATTCTAAAAGGCAAAACATTTTATAGTTGGTATGTGAATATATAAGGGGGTTTTCCTTTTATATATTATATGCAGGAGTATT